TTACATACCTGGGCTCCAAAATCAGATGGATTTGCACGGGAATCCTGGGGTTTCTGCCTGCTGTATGACTGAACAAATTACCTTCTATGCCTTTGATTCTTCAGTGGTAAATAAGTATGTATTAGCTACATCACAGGTTGATTACAGGGCTTAAAATTAAATAATATAAGGAAAAATGAAACAAAGAATCAAAGCTTAGATAACCTATGTAAAGCTCTGGACACTTAGTACACCTAGGTTACCTAGATAACCTACATAAAGCTTAATATACTTATTATTCTACTCCAATAAGCCCTCAAATGTTTTTACTTTGTTTCAGAAGACTTCTAAGTGGTCTCTCTGACATCAGACTTGCTAAATTCATTCTCTCCATTGTTGTCAGAATTATTTTTTAAAAAGCTAAATCTGATTATGTCATTTCCCTGCCTCAGAGTCTCTGATATTCCTTTTCTCTATGGGATTGCCTTTCAGGCCGTACTAAAGCATTGACTTAAAATGGAGTCAACTTCTTAAAATGGCATGACATCTGCTACCTTTCTCCTTTATTTCCTGCTACTCTCCTAAAAGTAGCACAGCCTTCATTAATACCAAACTTTTTATTGCAGGGACATGCCAATCTCTTTGATGCCTTTGGGTCTTTTTCTGGTCCCTGTTTCAGCACATGCCCCTGATCATCTAGAAAACTCCTACTTGTCCTTGAAGACCCACCATCTCATGATTCCTTCTCCTAAGTCAAAATCAAACACCTCTCTGTGCTATTAAAAATCCTTTATTCATACTATTTATCATGCCAATTTTGAAATTACTGAATTAAAATTACTTTTCCCAGGGAAAAGACCATTTATGAATAAAGGCCATTTATGAATAAAAATTGTAAATGGTCTTTTTGGTGTGTTATACAGTACCTGGTACATTGTAGGCACTCAATCTATAATTGAATGAATAAATGATGACTAAAAGTATCGTTCTGACAGTTTACAAGGTCTTTTCACATACTGAACTTGTTTTCATCACATTATCATAATACATAAGCATAAGATTGTTTAGATACAAGAGGCTGTATTATTATTATTATAATAAACTGAGATTTATTAAACTTCCCCACATCTTACGCAATTTCAAAGCTTTAAAAATACACAAAAATCACCACCAATATTTTTTAAAATAAAGGCAAAGTGAGAACATGGCTCATGTTTTAAGAACAATGTAATTATATAGATCATAATAATTATCTGTAAATATTGGTAAATACGTTGCCTCTCAGTAATTGTAAGCCAAGGTCAGATTAGAATGTTTCTTTAATTTGCCACAGAAGCTATTGTTTAAAGAGTCAGGCTAAAACCTGGAATGGGAGGAACTTTTTGGAATTATAGTAGCATTTCCAAGTCTTTGCAGTTTCTTACCCATTTCTTTTATGTGGCAGTAATAATCAATTCGGTTAAATAATGTAAAATCAGTAAGTTCTATTATTTTCCTAAATTTCTTAAAAACAGCTGAGCCAAAGTATCAAGAAAAGATAGTTGATTTGAAACCTACAGCAGTGTTTATCAAAATGTAATGACTTATTAGTGGCACATGAAATCAATTTAGTGTTACCCCAGCAATTAAAAGAAAAGGGATAGAATAGAACATATCAATACTAAAGTGGGCTGCATCAAGTAGAGGTATGATGTTTTGTGAAATCTTTATTTCAACCGTGTGTGTGTGTTTAGGTTGTGACGCAAAGTACATCTCCCACTATGGTATACATTTCCCACTGGATTGGGTCTAAAGTTTGAAAGCCACCATCCTACACGACACAGCAATATTGTCCAAGTAACCACTTAATAAAACTGGTTTACTAACTTGATAACATTGTAATCATGTCCCACGTGGGGCCCTAAACCCCAATTACACAATCATAATCCCAAGAGCATAATCAACACCTAATTCATTCACCAAACTTGGCTTCAACTAACATTTAATTATTTCCAAAAGTCAAACCCATCTCTAAGAGATGAACATTCACTACCACAGAAACTATGCACAAGTATTTGCTGTAGATTCTAAAGTCAATACCAGAAAAGCAGTTAAAAAAAAATATTTTCAGCAAAAGCTGTCACTAAAATTGGACTCAGATCAGTTTTCAAGAGCTGCTCCTGACATTCCTGTTTGCATATTTATCACATTTTATTAAAATTATTGTATAGTTTTCTCCCAACGAAACTGAGCCTCTATCACACAGAAACCTTATTTTATTATTTCTGTATAATTAGTGCCTTTATATATATTGTCTAGCACGTAAGAGACATTTAATAAATGTTTGTCAAGAAGACGGTACTCATTTGGATAAATACATGTTCTGAAACTTAATGAGTGGCTCCAGGTCAGAGCATATGCTAAGGCTACTCATGGTTCCTGCCCACTTTAAAGAATATACTTGTACTTCTCAAAGTCTCTCATCCTACAAAATTGGGCTTTATTGGAATTTAAAATGCATAACTTTAAATCAAAGCAATACAATTTTAAACAAAATGAGATGTTATTTTGACATCAAATTATCATGCATGCAAACAGGGAAATGAGCACTCTCAGACAATGTTTGTGAAGGGAAAACTGAGGAAGATAGTTTGGAAATATTTATACAAGGATATTAATCTCAGTGCTGTTTAAATAGATAAAAATGTCTAATACTGGGAGACTAGTGATGTAAATTATGGTAATTCTCACAATAGAATAATATGCAGCCATGAAAAATAATGATGTTCAATTATATTAGCATAGAAAGAGGCTCAGAAATATACTATAAAAAGCAGGTAACAAAGCTGTAAACTGCAGAATATCATTCTAAAAAATTGTGAGGTGAAAATCAAATAACATAATTAACCATTAGACAACTCATTGGCTATTTAGTACATTCACTTTACTAATCAACTACCATCTCTGTCTGGTTTCAAAACATTTTCATCAGCCCAAAAGGAAACCTGTATCCATTAAGGAGTCACTTCCCATCACCTCCTTCCCCAGTCTGTGTTCTGTCTCTATGGATTTACTTATTCTGGATATTTCATATAAATGCAATCATACAATATGTGACCTTTTGTGTCTGGCTTTTTCACTTAGCATAGGGTTTTGGAGGTTCATCTGCCTTGTACCAGTATTTTATTTCTTTTCATGACCGAATAATATTCCGTTGTGTATACATGTGACAATTTATCTGCTCATTGGTAGATGGACATTTGGGTTGTTTCCATTCTTTGGCTATTAGAACTAGTACTGCTATAAACATAGGTGTACTGCAGAACCATTTCAATGATATGCATATCTACTGGCAGAATAAATTCAGGAATATTAACAGTCATTATTTTGAGGTTACCGATGAATCTTTTTATATTATTAAGAGCATTGGGCTTTAGAATTAAGCAGACCAGACTCCATTTCTTCATGTGTAAAATGAGAAAAATAGAACTTAAACTAAAACTGGATTATTGTGATAAGTGAGACATATGTACTTGGAGGCGTAGTGTAAGTACTGACTATGAAGCAGCCACAACAGCACAACTAAAGACACTCACAAAAGAGGACTTCCAGAACTGCTTCAGGAAGTGGCAAGAACAATGGGATAAGTGCGCTGGAAGCAAGGGAGAGTATTTTGAGGGGGGATTAATGGCAATGTGTCTTTTACTGTAGTATATATTTTAAAAATTTAAACATTCACCATATTTTTTTATCACACCCCTTATATAGCATTTTTGAAAATACTGTTTTTATTTTTCAGCTACATTAATTTAAAATATTTTCCCTAACGGAATAATATTGGTGTTTAACAGTCTTTTTTTTGAGCATGTATTTGCATGCTACACAGATGCATGTTCCTTTTTGCTGATATAGTCATTGGGGGCTGGTTCCAAAGACTACTCGACTATTTGACCTGATAATATCACTTTGACTAAGTATAGTTCTACAATGTAACTCTCCCTCTAAGTTTCAATTAAACCGATGTTCCAGTAGGGTATGTATTCTTCAGCCCTCAGCCTTAGCTCTTCTTCCATTTTAGTCTTTGTTTCAGCATTGCTTTAAATGTTGCATATGCAATCATCCAGGTTTTACATTTTAGGAACTGGGACGAAGGGCCGGCCGGCTGAAGGGCACAGGCTTTCTCGTACACACAGCTAGGAAAAGACTCTGCGATGAGGTTTTTCCAAAAACATAAAATTTCCACCGGAATCTCTCTTTGTACTCCCTTGAAAAACTTCAATTTTATTTTCCATTGTAAACTCAAACTTCTTCGCCAAATATGCAAAAGCAGCAGGGTTACCGTCAGGAGCCTGCAGGACGCCTCCCTGGGTTTGGGGAGCCTGAATTCGCGTTTGCAGCCTCCGAGCCGCCCCAGCGCGGGACACACTCAAGGGGAGTCCGGGGGGGGGGGCGGTGTCCCGCAGGGAGGCCGTGCGGGGACCGGCGCCCGGGATTCGAGTCCCCTCGGGAAGCTGCAGGCGAGGGGCTGCATCCCCAGAGCCCCGACCTGGGCGTTCACTGGGGCCTTGCAGGGAGGGGGAGCTCGCCAGCCGGCGCCCGCACAGGTGTCTGGGCGGCGGCGTCGTCCCGGGCCCGTGGGCGGGAGGGCGCAGGGGCGGGAGCCGCCAGCGCGCGGGGGCCGGGGGCCCGAGGGGGAGGCTCCCGCGAGGTGGTGCTCGGCTCCTCCTCGGCGCTCAGGTTTCCTCTCCCGCCCGCAGGCTGCTCGCTGCGGCGCCGCCTCCCTCCCTTTTCCCCTCCGGGCGGCTGGGCCCATCCTGCGGCCTCTGCCCGCCTCGCCCCGCCCGGGCCTCCTCCCGCTCTCTCTCTGCGCTTCCCCTCGAGCCTCCCGAGGAGCCCGCAGCCGCGGGGCTCCGGGAAGATGGCGGCGGCGGCGGCGGCGGGCGGCGGCGGCGAGGGGGGCGCGGG